CAGACACTTTTCAAAAGAAGACATATAATGATGCCAACAAACATGAAAAAATGCTCATCATTACTGGTCATTAGAGAAATGCGAATCAAAACCACACTGCAATACCATCTCATGCCAGTTAGAATGGCGACCATTAAAAAATCTGGAGACAACAGAGGATGTGGAGAAATAGGAACACTTTTACACTATTGGTAGGAGTGCAAATTAGTCCAACCATTGTGGAAGACAGTGTGGCGATTCCTCAAGGACCTAGACATAGAAATTCCATTTGAACCAACAATCCCATTACTGGGTATATATCCAAAGGATTATAAATCATTCCATTATAAAGACACACACACACTTATGTTCATTGCAGCACTGTTTCAATAGCAAAGACCTGGAACCAACCCAAATGCCCTTCAATGATAGACTAGACAAGGAAAATGTGGCACATATATACTATGGAATACTATGCAGCCATAAAAAACAATGAGTTTGTGTCCTTTGTAGGGACATGGATGAATCTGGAAACCATCACTCTCAGCAAACTGACACACGAACAGAAAATCAAACACCACACGTTCTCACTCATAGGTGGGTGTTGAACCATGAGAACACATGGACACAGGGAGCAGAGCATCACACACTGAGGTCTGTTGCGGGGGAATAGGGGAGGGACAGCAGGGGATGGAGCAGCAAACCACATTGCCATGTTTGTACCTATGCAACAATCCTGCATGTTCTGCACATGTAACCCAGCACCTAAAGTGCAATTTTATATATATAGATATATGATTTTTGAAAAGTTATATAAACTTTTAAGTTTTTTTCTTGTTTCCAGTGAGGTTGGAAAAACCTTTAATTTCATTTTAGCTAAAGATGTAAATGTTTTTTGAAGTTGTATTTAAATAGTCAGAGATATATACATATGTGTATTAGTTACGCAATATTAATAACTTTAAAATGTAAAGTCAGAATGAGATGAGAAAGATGAATTTCAATGGGCAATTCTGGAAATGACTATTTTAAGATGGATTTTGGCACAATTTAAAAGTACTAGCTGGACTTCTACAGGAACAGGGAAGAGAAATGGTACTGGTATTAAACGTATCATAGATACCAAAAACAAGGGCAAAATGTAGAGTACAGAGTACCTTTGAGAATGAAGGATATTCCCCTGAGGCTGAAATGTGGATTTGTAAGTGAATACCATATTTCCTTTTGTTTTTTTGGAGCCAAACACTATATTTAACACTTGACCATTTCCTCCACCAACTCTTAGTTTCCATGGTGCGATATCGTGATTTTCTTTCTTGCTCTGATCATTTCCATTTGTTTTCTTCCTCATGGGTCCCTCTGTCTTCTCTAGGCACATTTGTTTTCACTTTTTCTTTTTGTTTTTTAGTGACAGGGTCTCTCTCTGTCACCCAGGTTGGAGTACAGCAGTGTGATCATAGCTCACTGCACTGCAGCCTCAACTTCCTGAGCTCAGCCTCCCAGGTAGCTGGAACTACAGGTGTGTACCACTACGCCAAACTTTTTTTTGTAGAGAAAGGATCTTGAAGCCAAGTTGATCTTGAACACCTGGACTGAAGCGATGCTTCCACCTCAGCCTCCCAAAACACTGGGATTATAGGCATGAGCCATCACGCATGGCCTATTTTCACATTTTACAAGCATTACTCAGTTATTTTCATTTACTCCTTTTATTCACTGTTATTTACAACAGGAGTTGGCCAACTTTTTTGTAAGGGACATATAACAAACACTTTAGGCTTGGCAAGCCAAAAGGTAAACTCAGGGATATAATGTAAGTACTTACATAATAAGAAAAAACAAACGTCCACACATTTCTCTGGTTTTATAATCAAACGCTGATGTGCTAGCAGTTTCCTCGATTCTTTGAGCAATTGTTATCATGAAAAGGCTAATACATAGTCTTAGACAAGTTTATTTTCCCTGGGCATGTTTTTTCAGCTGCTGCAATCAAACAGCATTTAATTAATTTTACATCACTAAGTGGCATTCCTTGCTTGGCTAACAAATGAGCTACTCAGAAACTTACTACAGATGTACTCATTTTCATTTTTATTTTTATGAAGTTTTTCTGCAATAGATACCCTGTGAGTTGGGAATGTGTGATGAGTGCTTAGTCTGGAAATGTAGATGTATATTGTATTAGTATTATTGTAGTGTGGTTGCATAATAAACACAATACTCTCCCATTTAATCCATAACAAAATAATCCACACTACTGTGTCTAAAAGCCTAATATCTGAAGACTTCTTGCCTTATTTTGTCATGATGAGTATGGACTATTAAAAAAAATAATAATAAAATGTTATGGGGTACAGCAATATGCATAGCATTCAAAATACTATCAAGTTATAACTATGTGTCACTGCAATTTATAGTATACTAAGCAGCAATGCAAAATGAGAGTAATACATACACTGTGTTACCCTTTGTCACAGTGCCAGTCTCTGTCACTAGTCAGCTCTGCCATTGTGCCACAAAAGCAGCCACAAACAGTATGTAAATCAGTAAATGTAGTTGTGTTACAATAAAATTTTAGGGAGACTGAAATTTGAATTTAATATAATATTCATGTGCCAGAAAGTATTATTCTTTTGATTTTTTTCAACTATTTAAAAATGTAAAGACCATTCTTAGCTTGCAGGCTCTACAAAAACAAGTGGTAGGCCAGATTTGAGCTGCAGCCCACAGTCTGCCAAAACCTGACCTATAAAATAGTACTCAAAGATGTGCAGTGCTATTCACTCTATATACAGAGCACCAGACTTATATATCCAACCCAGTGAATGCATCACACTACAATTCAAACCAAACATCTACCAAATTAAACACATCATTTTCCCCCTACTCTAAATTTTCTTTTCCTCCTCTATTCCCCAATTCAGTTAATCAATGACTACTGATTCCTGTAAGTCAGGCATTGGAAACAACAAAAATTATTATGACTACTCTCTCCTCCACTGACGTCCACCAAATACATAAAGTTCTAATTATTTTACTTTCTAAATAGTAATGTGAAACCATCCCCTCCTCTTCATCCCTACTTGGATGTTATCACCTTTATTCAAGTCCTCCCCATCTGTCACCTGAATTTGTAAAAGTCTCCTAACCAGTGTCTTTGCCTCTAGTTTTATCCCTGAAATCCATAATCCACAATGCTGTCATCATGTTCCATGTAAAATGTAAAACTGATTATTTCACTCTCCATAAAATTCTTCTTGAAATTCAAGTAAAATCTGACTCCTCAGCATGATGTATATGATCTATGCTCTCAAAGCCTCATTTTATACCTCTCTTTCCTTGCTTACTATAATCACACTGGCCTTCCTCTCATCTCTCAAACAACCCTAGTCCTTTCCAGTCACAAACCTTCCTATAGTCTTAAAACAGTAGGTTTCATACTTTGCTCTGTGAGGAACTCCTGAGAAACCATGAAAGGTAGAAGGAGGAAAGCAACAGATCAGTCTGGGCAGTTTTATTGTAATATGCTATATTGTCTAGGCTTTCAGATATAATGAAATTTAAAAACATACACAAGAGTTTCATGACCACCCCCAATCGAAAAACATGGTTGCAAAAGTCTAATTTGCTTAGCAGAACATATAAGAACATGTTAGCTATTTAAGTTCCCCCTCCTGCCTCCCTTCTCCCCAAGCCTCTTCAGTCAATACAAACAAGTATTGACTTCAAATCTCTATACTTTTGCCTACCACAAGCCCTCTCTCTCCATCTTCTTCTTGGTTTAGCTAATTACTATTTGCCTTAAAGGAGTCTTTACTGACTTATCTTCGAATAAAAGTAGTATTTTCTCCATGTGAAATAATCTGAAAATATTACTTGATTTTGGATTTACTGCCTGGCTCCCCTCATGGGAATTTCAGAATAAGAAAAGAGACCCTGACCAGGCACAGTGGCTCACGCCTGTAATCCCAACACTTTGGGAGGCTGAAGCAGGTGGATCACTTTAGCTCAGGAGTTTGAGACCAGCCTGGGCAACATGGTGAAATCCCATCTCTACCAAAAACACAAAAAATTAGCTGGGCAGGATGACATACACCTATAGTTCCAGCTACTCAGGAGGCTGAGATCAGAGGATCGTTTGAGCCTGGTAGGGAGTTGCAGTGAGTTGAGACAGCACCACTGCACTCCAGCCTGGGTGACAGAGGGAGACACCATCAAAAAAAAGAAGAAAAAGAAGTAAGGGAAAGGAAAGAAAGAAGCACATCATGAAAGAAGGTAGAAGGAAAGCAACAAGCCAATCCAATAAGTATTTGTCAAATGACTGAAAAAATCCCATTAATTTTTATATTCCAGTTTTTGGTGTAGTGTGTAACACACAGGAGGATTTCAATACAGGTATGCTAAAGAATAAACCTGGAAATAAAAATCGGGGTCAGACAATGAGGAGCCTCGAATAGCAGGTCAAGCAGTTGCATACTCAATTGTGATAGATTTAATCTTATTTTCCTATTCACTCATTTATCTCTTCATTCTTATTAATTCTCAATTGGCAGTGCTTCTAATATTTTGATTTTCCTCCAAGCTGTTTTCTCAACTTTTGTGAAGTATCTTATCTCAATATGAAATCAGACAAAGCCTATGTTTTAAAGGTGGCTCTACTTAACACAGCACATAGCCACTTAGAAAAATATGTAAAATTCTAAAAAGCAATAGAATACTATGAATAAAATATATTGGGAAAATCATTAAAAACTCCTGAAGACCTTCTACGGAACTTAACTAATAGAAATTAAATGTTTGGATTTAGCTTTGACTTGCTTATTAGCATAAAGAATTCCAATAAAAAGGTATCAAATTTCCAGGGAGGAAAAAAAAAAACACTTATCAAGTGAACAACTTACTCTGTGTGAAATGCAGTAATTTTCTATATGAAACCTACATTTAAACAATGCTTAAATAAAAATAATGCTAATTCTTCCAACAAAAAAAATAGTACATAAAAATACAAAAATGATTCTTACTAAGTTATTGTCATCCTGGAAAGCATAGTGCAAGGTTGTAATCCATTTATTGTCTCCATTCACTAATACATCCCTTTCTTCACGAAAACATGCTGTCTGAAAAGCAAGAGGAAAATTTTTAGAGCATATTTTATGTAAAACTATGCAAAGAATTACTTAGTATGTTTCTATTATTTCTGTTCTGGAAAAGGAATACACTTGGTTTTTATAAGACTTCTCAATAACACAAGTTTCAAAGAACCCTCAGAAACTGGGCTACTGGAATAATACCTTTTAAAAATATACTTTATATTAACAAATACTTTTATAGTTCAAAACAATCAGAAAAATGTACAGAATAATTTAAGAACCATGGACCAACCCACCATCTAGATACTATAAATGTCTACATTTTGCCATATTTACTTCTGATTTTTTTTAAAAGAAATACAATATAAATTGTGGTCTTCCTACTCCTACTCCAAACAGTGAACCCATTGTCTTCCCTTTTGCACCAGTTGTAATCAATAATCTGAAGTCAGTGGATAGTCCACCAATAACATGCTTTGATCATACATCTCTACGTCTATAAACAATAGATTTGCTGGTGTTTTGAAAATTTTCATGGGCTGGGTACAGTGGCTCATGCCTGTAATCCCAGCACTCTGAGAGGCCAAGGCAGGCAGATCGGTTGAGCTCAGGAGTTTGAGACCAGCCTGGGCAATATGGTAAAACGCTGTCTCTACCAAAAATACAAAAATTAGCCAGGTGTGGTATCATAAACCTGTAATCCCAGCTACTTGGGAGGCTAAGGCTGGAGAATTGCTTGAACCCAGGAGGCAGAGGTTGCAGTGGGCCAAGATGGCACCACTGCACTCCAACCTGAGTTACAGAACAGACCTTGTCTCAAAAAAAAAAAAAAGAAAAGATTTATGTGAATGGTATAATTTTATTTATCCGTTTGTAATTTTTTTTTTCTCAAGAATGACTGTTCTTTTAACTGCTATGGCATACCATTGTTTAAATGCACTATAATTTATTTATGCAACACCCAACCATGGAAACATAGGTTATTCCCAGTTTTGTATTATTATATACAATGTTGCAGTAAACATTTTTGTACAAATGTGCAAGAGTTTTTCCATTGTATACACTTAGAAATAGAAATACTAAATGCTAATTTCAACTTTACCAGAGACAGCCAATTTTCTTTCCTGAGTGCTATACCAATTACTCCTCCACCCAGCATCTGAAAGCTCTGCTTTTCCCCACATCCTCAACTACATGTGACATTATTAGACTTTTAAGTTGTTGCCAACATGATGCATGTGAAATGTTCCTTTAATTAATAACATATTCCTAATTACAGGTACAGATAAATAACTTTATATACATTTTATCTGACAACTGAACTTTGTCTTTTAATTGTTTACTTTGTCCATTTCTCTAATGGATTGTTTTTTCAAATTGATTTTTAAAGTTGTAGTTTATTCTGAGAATACATTTCCACCACCATAAAAGTATATCTTGGAGAACCTAGAAATGTATGATCAAAAATAGAAAATAATTTTCTTACTTTCTTTTTTGAGATGGGATCTCTATTGCCCAAGCTGGAGTGCAGTGGTGCAATCACACCCTCACTGCAGCCCAGGCTCCGGAGCTCAAGTGATCCTCCCACCTTAGCCTCCTGAGCAGCTGGGACTATAGGTGCATGCCACTATGCCTGGCTAATTTTTTTTTTTTTTTCTTTCTAGAGAAGAGGTCTCACTATCTTGCCCAGGTTGGTCTTAAACTACTGGGCTTAAGCAATCTTCCAGCCTCCCAAAGTGCGAGTGAGCTATGAGCTACCACACCCAGACTAAAAATGAATTTTAAATATCGTAATTCTGTAATACATTATCTTTAATTTTTTTTTTTTTTTTTTTTTTTTTTTTGAGACGGAGTTTCACTCTTATTACCCAGGCTGGAGTGCAATGGGGCAATCTTGGCTCACTGCAACCTCCACCTCCTAGGTTCAAGCAATTCTCCTGCCTCAGCCTCTCAAGTAGCTGGGACTACAGGCGTGCGCCACCATGTCCTGCTAATTTTTTCATTTTTAGTAGAGATGGGGTTTCACCATGTTGATCAGGATGTTATCGATCTCTTGACCTCGTGATCCACCCGCCTCGGCCTCCCAAAGCGCTCGGATTATAGGCGTGAGCCACCGTGCCCAGCCTATCTTTAATTCTGAACCAAAAAGAAACAAAAAATAACAACACTGTGACAGAAACTTCAAAGATAACTCTAAGAAAGTAAGTCTCCTTGAGTCACATTCCCATAGTTTGAATGCCCAATTGTTGCGTCCAGTACTATTATTCTTTGTTCAGAATCCTCTCAAAAAATCTGTGTCTATATAAGCATGCATGCACACAAACACACACAACACATTACACATTATATATTCATATATCCGACCTCCCTTATATTATTTGGTCTTTATACAAATGAGTTTATATTTATAGTGCTCTGTAAGTTGTTTTTTTCAAGTAACAATGAATTTGAAGATCCTTCTGTATCAATACATAAAAATCTACCTATTTTTTTCTTGTTGGCTATACCATATTCCAGATACACTATAAAATTAATACACGGTATTATATATATATTAAGTGCTTAATTATTATATCCCACAAGGTAAATTCAACAGCCATGATCTACAAAACAATCAACATTGTAACTCATTTGGCCTTAACATTTTCTATGCATGTATACCCACAAATCTTATTTAACCAAATAGAATTTCTAAAGTTATATATTAAATAACAATATAATAAACATTAAAACAAATAAAGCTTGACCAAAACAAATGAGCAATTTTACCTTCAATTAAATTACGAAAATCTACAGCACTAAACTTTGGTTCACTTTAAGGGGAAAAGAAAAAAATCACTTTACATACATAGTATTAAGTCCTGTTTTATAATTTAATTGACTCGAGGTTACGGTTTACTGCTAACATTCTTTAGAGAGTTTGTAAACACTGTCAGAGCCTAGGAGACTACTTTCTCCTGGCTTTATCTCCCTGTAATAGAAATCTGAAATTTTATAAATATTCTAGCTAGAATTTAATAAACATTCATTATTTCATTTGACTGATAACTCAAAACTAAAAAAAGCTCCAAATATATTAGTCAACAGAACATATTAAACTTTGAGTTCTAATCTATGCTAAACTATTTAAAAAAAAAATTACTTAAAAAATAAAATATATAGGCCAGGAAAAACAATAGGCATAAATCAGCACTGTCACAGATAAACTAAGATATACTGTCACCCTCCTTATGAGACCTTAGTATCTTCAGTTTATACATGAGAAAATTGAGCCTTAGAAAGGTTTAACTCTCAGCCCAGTGCAGTGGCTCGCACCCGTAATCCCAGCACTTTGGGAGGTCAAGGCAGGCAGATCACTTGAGTCCAGGTGTTTGAAACTAGCCTAAGCCACATAGTGAGACCCCCATCTCTACAGAAAATACAAAAATTAGCTGAGTATGGTGGTGTGTGCCTTTAGACCCAGCTACTTGGGAAGCTAAGGTGGGAGGATCCCTTGATCCCAGGAGGCAGAGGTGGCAGTGAGTCAAGATTGCAACACTGCACTCCAGCCTGGTCAACAGAGCAAGACTCTGCTTCAATAAATAAATACAAATATTTTTAAAGTATTTTTTTAAAAAGCCTTAAGTATCAAGACAGAGAGTGTTCTGTAAACTATACTGCAACTCCCCATGAAATGAATAAGGACATTTCTTAATGAGCAAAGTCAGTACTCAACTGAACAAATATGAAGAAGTAAAATTTACAGAACAGATTGGGAGCAGTAGTTAATTAATTAATTTAGGAGGCTGTTGATAAACTAGCAAACTCTGTAAATGATAAACCTGTAGACTTATTGGTGATAAACTAGCATAGTTTGTAAATGATAAATCTGTAAAATTACTGGACAATGATTATATCAGTATACTATTCTGCCCAGGTATAGAAAGAGAGGAGGCTTCCTAGCACCTTTCAGTAACCCATATCTCATTAACTATACATTTGACATATGGCTTGAAACAGAAATAAATAAGGTAAATAAGTTGGATGCAAACTTTTGACAAATTGTTTTAAAGCATCAACAATACACAAATAAAAAATAAAAAGTTTCGCTGCTCATTTGTAATTTATTATGTCTAGTTTTCCAAAGCTGGATATGTCACAGAAGAGTTTTTATAAATGTAATGTTTTTGTTTTTTAAATAAAGATCTGCTTATTCAAGCAGAGAAATATAATTTTACTTTTAAAGTGAATTCTTCTTTAAAAGTTTCACTGAAGGCCGGATGTGGTGGCTCACACCTGTAATCCCAGACTTTGGGAGGCTGAGGCAGGTGGATCACCTGAGCTCAAGAGTTCAAGACCAGCCTGGCCAATATGATGAAATCCTATCTCTACTAAAAATACAAAAATTATCTGGACACGGTGGCTCATGCCTGTAATCCCAGCTACTAAGAAGGCTGAGGCACAAGAATCACGTGAACCCAGGAGGCAGAGGTTGCAGTGAGCTGAGATTGCACCACTGCACTCCAGCCTGGGCGACAGAGAGAGACTCCGTCTCAAAAAACAAAAAGTTTCAATGCAGAGTTTCTGCTTAAAAGATAATAGTTTTCTCAAATAGTTTGAGGAGTATAACTTTCAATGTGGAGTCAGTCTTGCATCTCCACAATAAACCATACTTGGGCATCGGATATAATTCTTTTAACATACTGCTGAACTGTATTTGCTAATATTTTGTTAAGGGTATTTGCATCTATATTCATGAGGAATATTTATCTTAACTTTCTTTGTGTGGTCCTTGTCAGGTTTTTCTATTAGCATAATACTGACCTCCAAAAGGGTCTTATACTCTAAGGTTCTGAGGTCTCTAGCTAGTCTACCTTATTCTCTCTACCTGTGGGGATCTTCTAATGCTTGTTTTACATATAATGTCCAGAATCTTTAACTGTATTTCACAGGCGAATAGGGAGAAGTGAGTCTATTCCATCTTGTCTCAGAAACAGAATATAATACTTGTTAATTCAATAAAATATTTAATTTTAAATTATACTGTTTTATTTTCAATTTTGCCACTTTCAGCAATAATGAAAGCTAACCTAGTTATCCTTCCTTTTCCCAATTCTTACCCAATGTATACGGCTTCATTTAAAAAAGTATAAACTTTAATTTTTTAAAAATTGTAACTCTGAAACAGAAAATTGACTACACTTGTTATTTCTGCCAAACTGTTTTATCTTATTATTAAAAATTGAAAGAGTGCAGGTGTGTGCCACCATGTCTGGCTAATTATTTCCTATTTTATAATAACAGGATTTGTTGCTCCGGCTGCTGGGAATGCTGTCACACCTTCAGGGTTTGCATCAGCTAAAGAAAGCCTACCAGTCCAAGGCCATGTCCTTCAGGGGTAGCTCATGTCCACTGTCTAATGGAGGCAGGTGTATAAAGGTCTAGACACTCTGACCCAATGTAGGACACTTCCCAAGGGCCATTTCTGCTACAGAGCTCCCAGTGGAATCAACTGAAGCTGATGGGACAACTTTACAAGTCCTATTTTCCTCCATTCCCTTCTACAGGTGTTGATCTCAAAAGTAATCCCTAACAAATAACTGCACAGTCAGCTCAATCTTGGTATTTACTCCTTGAGAAATTCAACCAGTTACAGTTAAGACAATTCAGTCTTATGGAAATTAAACGTAAAAACTAAGGTTGTTGAATATAATGGACACTGGCACATATCCCAGTGATAAATGTGACATTAAAGCTCTCAGATACTTTGTCAAACAGGATATTACTACACAATAATTACCTCTCGGGGATGCAGAGGAAAAAGGAACAATTATATACTTAATAGGAATGTAAATTAGTACAATCTTTATGGAAAACAGTACATCAATTTCTCAAAGAACTAAAAATAGAACTACCACTCCATCCTTCAGTCCCACTACTACTGGGTATCTACCCAAAGGGGGAAAAAAATCATTATATCAAAAAGATACCTGTACTCAAACATTTATCAGCACTATTCACAATAGCAAAGTCACAGATTCAAACTTATTGCCCATTAACGCAGGACTGGATAAAGAAAATATGGTGTGTATACATACGTGTGTGTGTGTGTGTGTGTGTGTGTGTACATATGTTAAAAAAAAAAATCTGCAGCAACATGAATGGAAGTGGAGGCCATTATCTTAAGAGAAAAAACTCAGAAACAGAAACCAAGTACCACATGTTCTCACTTATAAGTGGAAGCTAAACCATGAGTACACATGGAAATACAAAGTGGAATAATACATTGCAGATTAAAAAAGATGGGAGGGTGGGAAGGGGGTGAAGATGGAAAAGTTGACTACTGGGTCCAATGTTCACTATTTCGGTGACGGGTTCACTAGATGTGTACTCCACCACGACGCAATATATGCATATAAGAAATCTGACCTGTATCTCCTAAATATATAAAACCAAAAAAGTGTTTAATGAATAAATAATATTTTAAAAGTAATAATTACTTCTGGGAGGTAGAGAAAGGATGAACTTGGGTGATAAAAGAACATGTTAGCTTAATCAGTATATGCTACTATTTGTTTTACAAAGAATATATTTGTGCTTCTCTTCAGAGGGTTTTTTTTTCCCCCCAGAGTTTAGAAAAAAACCTAGAAGCAAAAACTTGACCAAAATGTTATTATTTCTGGGTAACAGAACAAAAGTGATTATAGTTTCTTCTTTGTGTTTTCAAATTTCTCCAAAGAAATAAATAATGAAGTTTTTACTTTCAATGCCACCATATCCGTCATCATGGGAACGCTTTTTGCTTTTCCCTATTATGTCTGTTCATCTTTGGGTTGCTACAAGTGCTGACAGATAAACGAAGATTTCTAGGGGCAAATTTCTCTTTATTCTCTTACAAATCTTGCCAACTTCCAGGGCTAATACTCAGCCTGCTGATCAGTATCACCTTTTACCAGTTAAAATACTGACAGAATTCTACACCAGTTAAGTTCTGCTTCCTTGAAGCCTCAGAATGCCTACCCCACGCAACCCTTCACCATGACACAGCACAGCAGGGGACCCCTAGAACTTCACCCCAAATCTATGTGTGATGTCAGTTCTGACCAGGCCATACCAGGTACTGGATATTTTTAACATCACTCCAGCCAATCCTTCTCTCAAATCTACATTAAAATGCCGGCAATTCTTGCACTAATCGATTTTACTATAACTCCTGTAACATAAAACAAAATATAAAGTGACTGCTGATTATTCAGCATTAAACAGAATTCCTAGAGGGCATGTTCAAAACTCCTGCTGACTTTTGCTTGTAACAGAAGATAGATGAATACAAAATAATATAAACAAGCAATGTCATATTAGAAATTAGTCATTACAAAATGTCTTTCTAGAGTGTAGTCTGTACCCATCCCTTAATTATAGCTGCATAAGCCCCACATTACAAGGGTTTCCATTTAGTATCCCACTAATATTAAATTAGCATTATGGATTGTAACCTTCATCATAATTATACCATAACTGTGTTGAACTTGTCTTTTATGCCTTAAAAAGTCACCATAATGTTACCAAATAATATTTAATGAGTTCTATGTAATTATATAGTTCCTGAAAAATATTTCTCAAATACTTACATATTCTAGTACATAAGACTCTTACCTCAGCTCTTTTCAGCATTTCCCATTTATTCAATATTTTCATGGCAAATACTTTATCTGCATTTTTTAGCTTTACTACAGCAACCTGGAAAAGATAACAAAAATATAAATTTTAAAATATGACAAATAATAATTTTTTCAGCCATCCATTTTCCTTTTTCCTCTCTGTAAAAAAGTAAGTACCAATTATCAATTATTTCAATGCAGTTCAAATTCTAAGATCCTAAATTAAATAATGTTGTCAGATGAAAAGTTAGTGAACATGTGCCAAACCAGTAACTATATTTGTGAATGAACACTGTATTAGTTGGTAAGTATACATTATATCCCCCTTCTCAAGAGTTCTGCTCTGGAATTTAAACTCAATGTCTACTATCATTAGAAACTGAACAAAATGTTCAACAGGAAAGAACTAGAGCTTATTAAATAATGCACACAAAATTCCAATACCATGTTACAAGGAAGGCCTGCTGCCAAAACAAATATGTTCTATGAGGATCAAACAATATGAAATAAACTGAAAACAATCCTATTTTTCATACCACATCCTCTTACATACTATACCATAATCCACATACACACATATACATAACACATACCTACAGCAATTAAAACTAATAATTTTACAAAAACTAGACTTTACACATCCCTTCCAAAAAGAAAAAAAAAGAAACATTTCTGTATTTTCTATTTCAATTGTGGATCAAAAACTATCAAATACATAAATAAAATCCCTTTCTCGCTCTCAACAAATTGATGACATTTCTATTTCTATCTCTCTGTTTCAGTTTAACCAGATAATTTCTAAGTGCACTTCCAGCCCACTGGATTTACTATAGGCCTGAGGCTCGCCTACAAGAGAGAAAGACAAAGGTTGAGTAAGACTGTTTTCAGTTACTGGAGGTGGGTGGGGAGGAAAAGAAATGCTACCCTAATATGCAGAAAGGGAGGTCAAACTATATGCAGCAGATCTTCAAACTGCTGATCAATGGGATATTTCCAAAATTAGAGAATAGGTTTAAATTCAAGTGCCAAAAAAAACTTAGAGCAAATGTGCATATCAAGGTTATTTAATAAATTTATATTTGAATCAGACTTCAATAAAAGTAATATGACCATATAATTACAATAAGTTTATAAATACTGAATATTTTTTGGTAATTGTTATTAGTTGTTATAATGACTGTGATTATTGTTTTTCATCAATTAAAATGGTGAGAAAGAAAAGGAAGTATCTCAATATCAAACGCAATCACTTTAGTCTTCTGTCATATTTGAAGAAATGATGGGTCAATTACTGTTCTCCCAATGGGCTCATACTTAAAGAATGATGTAATGAAGAATAAGAAAAAACCTGAAACACTGTTTCACTAAGATCTCTAAAAGGATGAAAATAACACTTGAGCTATGACTTAGACTCTAAAATCAAACCCTGCATGATTGGGAGTGCACTTGGACAGAGGGACAGGAGCACTAAGCTATACAAGCCTAAATTTAGGGTGGGGAAAACACACAGAATGCTATCGCTTACAGCTTCTTATTCTGATTAAGGGAAGAATAGCTGAAAGACTCCAAAACTTAGGTATCTTCCCCTCCTAAGGTCACAATGTGAGAAAAGTGACAGCAGTACCCTACAATTCACCAATTTTCCATATGTATAAGTATGTAAGCATCTGATGATAACTACTAATAACAGTAGTGGTAGCAGTAGTACCCACTCAATACTACTAGTATAAATCTAGTAGGAGGAGAAATGCATTCTAAATGCCAGGCACTATGCTAAGAGTTTTATATAAGTCCATAATCCCTTATCTGCAATTCTAAAAGACAAAAGGTTTTCATAACTCATTTGGCAGCATGTAGTGACATCAGGCTATTGATATCTTGTTTTTTAACCTCATTTAATATAAAAACACACATGCTTCACTGAAGAAACATGAATATATCTGTGTATGAAGTGCTGCTCCAAACCCCAATGGGAATGTTATATAAAATAGAGTATACACACTAAATTACCCTTCTAAAATCCAGAAATACTGGAACCAAAACAACCTCTGGATTATACAGCTGTGCAGTAGAAATGATAATGCCTAATATTTACTGAACGCTCAAACATTTAGCTAGCATTTACTATGGCTGTTTTATGGAGTGGTGATAGCATGGATTCTGAAGCCAGACTACTTGGGTTTGAATCCTGCTTTTTTCATTAGCTGTGTCACTCTTGACAAAGAACTTAACCTTTCAATACTTCAGCGTCCTAATTGTCATGATAATGAGGTTAATAACAATACTTTGTGGTAAAGATTTTTAAAATTAATAAAAGTATAATCCTTGTACTTGGGATTACTGACCACTAATTATTGAGGTGTAACTGATCAGGGCCAAAATAAGATCCATTATACACACCTGTGCAGTGATCAGCACCATACTGCTACAAGGTGAAAAACATTTTCAAGTTTTTCAAGGGCCTGGAGCTTAGTAAGCGTTCAATAAGTGTTAGCTATGATTATATGACAGGCATTGCACTAAGCACAGTATTGCCCAATCTCTTCATTGCCATTTACTCTACCTCTAATATGTGGCAAGGAATGTAACTCTCAATTTCTTCAGTTTCTTCAACTACCAAAATAAAAAACCTTTCATCTCTTTAATTTCTAACTTTCTATAATTTTATACTTATATATATTTACATAGAAATATGGATAGAAGTACCCTCAGTTGAGTATATCTATCTACAAATAAAAACCAAACCACAATATTCACCGGTGTGGATTTCAATAGTAAAATATTGAAATGAACTTAAATATTCTAAATTATCATTTTGATTAAATATGACATATCACATTATGACAGAAAATTACTCATACACTGGAAAAAAATTACTCATACACTTGAAAAAAATTACTGAGGAATGTTAATAGGGAAAAGTTCACAGTATAATGTTAATGAAGTTTATTAAAGTGTGTACACTGTGATTTTCTTCTCTCTGTATATATGTACACACACATAAAATATGTACCATAAATTTCTATGCTTCATGTATATTAAGAGAAGAAGCAAAATATTAGAAGATCAGGTGTTTCTAGGTGATGCAATTTCTACTTGCTTTTCTACATTTTCCATATAAAACACATAAAATTTAAAGCATGGAATGAAGTAGTACGGGATACCACATCACATCCTGGTCACGAAATGACCATAAATTATCATGGTATTGTGGTGTAACTGATAAGGGCTAAAATGAGACCCGTTCTACACATCTGTGGTCATCAAGAATGCCATGCTGCTGCCAGGTGAAAAACATTTCAAAGCTATCTTATAACAGTTTCATGAGCTACCTAAAATCTTTTCTGGAATAAGGTGTGTGGTAAAATGAAAGTCAGTTCAGGAAATATTCTTTAATTATTGAATTGATAGATGATGAGAAAAGAATATGAAGCTTACAAAGTAACAAAATAAAATCAAACTGATGTTGGTTTTCTCCTTTAACACTGCAAGTCATATTCACATTCATTTCAGGAGCTGAAAATCAAGAAGAGGAGGATTCTCTTAGAACTCTAACTTCGGGTCCTATATTTTCAAGAACATATAAGAGTGTAGTATGTTAAAACGTCCTTTCTTGTTTAGCTTGATCAAAATTAAAAGTACATTTAATTTTAATGAACTGCAAGACTATAATTTAACACAGAACAAAGACATATTTTTTAAAATACTAGCAATATCTCGAAAGACTTCACAGTAAAAACATGATGTTAAAAAACTCTAAACACTACAGAAATAATCACTAAGTGACAAATGTATACAAGTCAGTTCTTAAACACAATGTACTATCATTTGAAGCTACAAACTGTAGTTACAAATTGTAGTTACAGAATGCTGTAACAATATTTTATGTTCATTCTTAATTTACAGGTTGTAGAATACAGAAACTGTTGCCAGGGAGTTCTATAAATCTAGTCTTCCTGCATATAGCAAGAATTCATTCACCATACCTCCTCTGTTCCAACCCATTCCAAGCTACCATTATATCTTGCCTGGGGCTGGGCATGGTGGCTCATGCCTGTAATCCCAGCACTTTGGGAAGCGGGGGTGGGTGGATCACCTGAGGTCAGGAGTTCAAGATCAGCCTGGCCAACGTGGTGAAAACCCATCTCTACCAAAAATACAAAAATTAGCCAGGTGTGGTGGTGGGTGCCTGTAGTCCCAGCTACTAGGAAGGCCGAGGCAGGAGAATCACTTGAACCGAGGAGGTAGAGGTTGCGGTGAGCCAAGATCGTGCCACTGCACTCCAGCCTGGGCAACACAGTGAGACTCTGTCTCAAAAAAAAAAAAACCACACACATAAACTTGCCTTGATTGTCCTACCTGACCTCTCTACTCCTGCCCTCTCATTCCACAATCCAGTCTAACCTCAACAATGAAGCCACAGTTGGCCCTGTTGAAATGTAGCTCAGATCATGACACTCTGATCATGACATTCCTCTGCTTCATAGCTTTCAATGGTTTCCCATCTCTCTCCAAGTAAAAGTGAAAATCCTTACTATGCCTTATAGGGCCAATATGTTCTGGCCCTCCACCCTCCCTGACCTCATGCTACTTTTCCCCTGGTTCACTCTGCTTCAGCCATAATGATCACCTTGCTCAATCCCAACTGATAGCCTTTGCACTTCTTGATCCCTAGGCCTGGAATACTCTACCCCCACAAAGCCACACAGCTTTCACTCCTTCACTGAAATGTCACTTTGCCCTTGACATTTTCTAACCCATTTCTTTGCTTCCCTTTCCCATTAGTTCTTATCATATTTCATGAACTATATATTCTATTTATGTAATTCATTGTTTGCTCCATTCACTACAATATGAGCTAATGAGGGCAGGGATTTTTTTTTTCCTATTTGTTCACTAGTACATACCTAGTACTTGGGAACCTACAGGTACTCAACAAACATCAGCTGAATTAATGATGAATGACTGGTAATCTATGTTGGCATATATACATGCAAAGTTGAACAGCACCAATAATCTCAGCTGCAAGTATAAAACTAAACTGATACTAAAACTCAAAAATAATGTATTATGACAAAA